CTAAACGAGAACAGAGGAGAGAGGACTCAACTAAAATATCAGTGTAATTTAATGGCAAGTTGAATAGTTTTACATTTACCCTCCACCGGTTTTTTTTTTGGGCAAAAATTCAACTTTTTTGTAAGAGTTTATGCTATAAGGCTGAGGACTTCGATGTCCAGGTACCATCTAAGCTGGATATTTTTTCTGTACCCATTTAAATTTTCCTGCAATGAGAGTGAAAATAAGAAGAGTATTTTTGTCTTCACAACGATCTATTTGTTTTTCATTTATACTCCATTCAAATTTTCCTGTCACAACGATCTATTTGTTTTTCATTTATTCCTTAAAAAAGAAAAGCATACTAGGATTTGAACTGTGGTAATTTTCAACAATGACAAGGATATTAACCAATCAAGGTACATATATTAGTTGTACCATTTTAAATGAAAAAAATACATGAGGTAACATTAAAAAATAATAGAACTTTTCAACGATTAGTTAAGGTCACTAAATCTTCGCTCGGTACTTATTGGTGTTTTTATACTTTGATTTCATATTTTATTCTTTTAATAATACTTTGATACTTAATTTAAATTTCTATTTATCTTATAATTTTCTATCTATCTTATAAGGTCACTAAAGTTCTGTTTATCATTGGTTCAATATTACATATCGAATTGCAATATCGAATTTGTAGAAGCGATGTTGAACTCTTACATTAGTATTACTTTATAGAACTACCGTGAGACAATCATATCCATATCTTTATGCAAACAATATGGGGATGGGTTCTTTGGACGTTTTAGCAAGGCTAACCCTTAAGTTCTAAACATCTTCCTAATCTGACAGACATGATTGGATTCAACAATCATTAAACGAGGTTGAGTTTAATAAGTTGGTTTATTTCCTCTTTTTTATGTACTAAAATGAATTGTAGAGCAAGGACATGTCTACATATACACTCTACACAATATATACTACTGGCATGATAAAATTGTCGTCCCATTTCAAATTTCCCACAACAAGAGTAAAAGTATGAATGACATTTTTGTCTTCGCCATTATTTATCTTTATTTTATATATAAAATAGACAAGTATTGAGATTTGAACTAATGTATCTTCAAACACAGACAACAAGAGTCATGACCATGATTGTCAATTCGAGTATGACTCTGCTGGTCATACCAATTATACCTAAACCTGAGTATCTCAGCGGGTGCCGAAGGCCCCGTTGGTTGTCTACCCGGGCTTGGTCAAAGTCGAGTTTAACTATCTCAACGGGAAATCCGGCCTAGTTAACCAACTGATTCGAGCACCGGGCCACTTCAAAATGATGTTGTTTTCAACAATTCATATATGTAGCTATGTTGTCATATCATCCTTTTATCACAAAACCCCACAACATGAAGCATCACATACCAGGTTCGACTATCCCATCGTCTCTTCTTCTTGCGTGAGATTCGAGAGCCTACAATACAAGACCAAACCATCTCAAAAGCCATCATAATCCCGCAATAGTAAATTTCATTTTTCTCCAGGTGCACAGTCATAGAGCCGGTCGACCTCATATCATACAAATAAGAAGCAAAAATTATTAGAGAAACATGCATTTGAGTTAAAACTTTGTGTGGCTAACAGAAGCCAAATTCCTCATTTTAATTATTGTTTTATACTTAATTAAATTCCTATATATCTTATAAATAGAGGATAACTTTAAAATCGCGGCCCAAATATCACTGGTTTGAATATTCCATATCGAATTGCAGTATTGAATATGTAAAGTGATGTATAATTCTTAAATTAGATCTACTATGACACAATCGTATTCATATCATCGTGTAAACTATATGAGACTGATTCTTTGAACATTTTAATTCGCCTAACCGTCAAATTTTAAACTTCTTCCTATTATGACATGATTGGATCCAACAATCATTAGAAGTTTAATAATATGGTCCATTTCACCTTTTTTAAATGTGCTAATGAATTTGTAGGGAAATGACATGTCTTTATATACAATCTACACAATATATAATACTAAAATGAGAAAATGGTTGTCTCATTTCAAATTTCCTACAACGAGAGTGAAAGTAGAAATGATATTTTTGTTTCACAATTATTTATCGGAAACTACAAACTTCCAAAACTGAGAAATTGTAGCTCAAACAAAAAAATCAGAGCATCAAAAATCAAAGTTCGCAAATTTTATTTCATATATCACTTATTTGAAAGATTTTTCTTTCTATAAACAAAGTAAAATGATACAAGTTATAGCCAAATCAACAGCTTGGGCTCTAAGACGATGGCTCGCTTTTTCGTGGGAGAATGGAATACATGCGGTGCCATCAAAGATCTGGAGAGCAAAGACGAAAATGGTACACCACAAGTTCTTAAATGGGGACTGTAAAATAGATCATCAAATCACGGGCTTGTGTTCAAATAAAAGGATAAGAGGTTAGTTAGATGACTGATGATATAGAATTTGCCAATTTGGTACATCTACAAGAGATTTCCAGCGTCGGCTTAGGAAACAAAGAATCGAAGGGGAAGAAACGATGCATGGGGAGTGGATAAACAAATTGAGTGCATGGGGGGGTGGATAAACGAATTGAGTGCATGCGGGTGGATAAACGATGCATTCATTTCTCTTTTCCTTTTAAAGAAATAAAAATAAAAACTTCAATAAAAAAACAAAAAACAGTATCGTAAACTTTGGTGGGTTTCTATTCAACTTTTGAAGTTTGTTCCCTTTTCGGGCTTAATTAGATTATTTAAAACCTATAATCCTACTAAAAAAATTTATTTTTATTTTTCCGTTGCATTGTTGTAATATTTTGACTAAAAAATGTTAGTAAGTTAAATGATATATTAATTAAAATAATATAATACTCACACTCTTTCGACGCACTCAAATTATAATTCTCTAAGAATATACGCTCTTACACTCCTGTTCTAGCTCCTGTTCTGTTAATTGGTAAGCTAAATCTGTCGAGTCAATTCTGTAGACAAAGAGACTACTATCAGAATTCGCCTTCCATCACATATTGTCTTCCCTCGCAAGCACCCCACACTCAATTCTCACTTGGCCATTCCTCATTAGTTTCGCATCTGACACACCGGCGTCATAGGAGTGCGACCTTCGTCGCAATGAATACATATTTTTGTAGTGCTTTTTAGGAGCTCGAAGGAGGATAGCGGAAAGTAGCAGATAGAGAAACAAATGCAGATAGTTCGGGCGAGGAAGAATATTATCCATATATAGATGAGATTTTATATAATTTATAAATATACGAACAATATAATGACTTCTTCATATATCCGGTCAAAAGCGGACTAAAATGAATGAACCATTAACCCTCAACCCACTTAATTGACCGGGCCAACGGGCTAAACATGGCTGACAACCTTTGATCTTTAAAATCCATATATTCTAAAAAACTTGGTGTTCCAATTTTTATGATTGAGTCAAATCGATCAATAATTGTGGATTTTCAGAGAGTGGTTGAAATTCAAAAGTCGGTCTTCAAGTTTATTTCGTGACAGACAAGTTTTTGCGTTTAATTATTGTTTGGTCGAAGGAAGTGAAAGCGGAACAGATAGAGAATGTGACTGTAGCTATTAATTATTGGGAGTTGCAGATGGAGAAGATAAACCATAAAAGAGGCTAAATTTAATTTGATAATGCTTATATACTATATATTACAAGGACGTGTTTGATTTGAAAAATAATAGAGGGATAGATTTGAGAAAAATGGATAATAGAGTGACAATTTATGCTATTAACTCCACATGGAAAGTAAAAGAGTATATTGGTAGAGTAGAATTTAAGCTTTTATAATGTCGAGATTCTCTTAATTTTGGTACGTGCATTAGTATCTAACACTTAACAACCCCCACTTATTATTCAAACAAGCCTATACACTAAATCATGATTATTAATACAATAATCCGAATTTTTTCATATTCTTCCGTATTTGAGATTTTGAGGCATAATCTTTTCTTTATTCTCTTGATTTTTTTATATACCTTCAATTTCTACCAATTCTAAATGACATATATTTCCTTCCAACTCCAAATTTATATCTGATAATAAAAAGTTCACAAATTTCTTCTAAGATATAGGGGGGAAATACAACACAATAAACTAGAACGACTTGATAAAAAAACATATTAACTAATTATCGCTAATGTTATAATCAACAAATACCATAAAGGTTACTTTAAAATAATGAATTAGCTATTTTAGAAAACCTCAAATTATTTTAAAACATGAAAAAAATTGATCAACATAAAATAAAATTCATCCGAATAACGGATCAGGTTAATATTTTAAATATAATTATAAATTAACCAATATAAAAGATAAAACAAAACTCATTCAGTAAAGGACCGAGTAAAAGCTAGTACTAAATAATAATGATTCATATTCTTACCAATTATTTCAACTGGGGAGAGAGTTTCGTTCAAAGTCATGATGGTGATCACATATTGAGAAGATGGGTTTCTTTTTTTTCTTTTTTTATAAATTGTTGGAAGAAGAGGATAACAAAATTAGAGATCTGGCCTAGGGGGTAATTGCTTATTATTTCTTGTAATTTTAATTTTGTTTATGCAAATACTAGGATTTAATCTGTGTATAATAGAAGGTCATCTCATATACGTATATAATAATTGGCTGTAATTGTAGTTTTGTTTATGCAAATAACCAAGGGATGCCATACTGCCATTGTCCCACCTTTCCAACAAACATGCTCCGTGCTGGGTGGATGTATATTATTCTATATGAATCTTATCAGCGAGACCCGTGCTACTAGTCATGTCCTCAAATGAACATATTTAAGAAATTTCAATCATATAATAGTAAGTTTCAAATCAAATCAAATAAAAAAGCTACCGCATGCTAATCTATTTCCATTTGGCTACAACTATAAAAATAAAAAATTAAAAGTACTATTAAGTATTGAAATAAGGGTCCCTAAAAAAAAGTATTGAAATAAGGGACTACATTGCATGTTTGGTTCAATTTATCAGTTTTATTCATATTTGTGACTCAAAATTTTACGTGGATCACTAATCGTCCAATTTCGTTAATTAGTTCACCGAACATGACAGACAGTCAACTATACCTTTAGGACTTTGCTACGGTGACATGCATGTCACCTTAACTTGCACTTTTAGGTCGACTTCAAACATTTTAGATGGTTTGACGTATTAAAAAATCAAATAATAAAATGATGTATTTTTTAATGAGAAAATTTAGGTGAGAGAATATAAGGAGGGAAAATGCGGCGGACATTGAGATCGGTTTTTTTTTCTTTCCGCCGTCTCTTGGCGTCGGCGCGAGAGTTGAACAAAATTGTAGCCTCCGTCGTCATCTTGGAGAGTTTGCCAAAATTTTCAGTGGTATAGAAATGGCGACAAAACATTTATGGGGTGACAAGATATTGGGGTTAGGTGGAAAATTGGGACCGTCAGTTCAGTTGGCGGCCCTCGTGCGTGCGTCGAACTAAAATCCAGAGTCCCACGCTAGCTAGCTTCTTTTCCCCCACCTGCAACTTCACATGAACACACTTCACTTCTGTCGGTCGGCCTAGGCAGGTTCTTTTCGACCACTTCTAGTGGAAGAGATTTTGATGCGTATTTTTCTTAAGCGGAACAAATCTCCAACCTATTGAAGTTTGCAAAGGCCTATTGGGTTGCTAATGGCCGGTGACTCGTTTTATTAATTGAGGAAATTGAGTGGAAAAAAAATACACTCAAAAAGCACATGAGCTGCAGCAAAATTAGAGACCGTTATTTGGTCCAGGTTTTTTGGTTTACCCGAAACTGGATCGTATAATTCGGATCGGCACCGGATAGTAAACAATTCAATCCAATGTTTGGGCTTAGATTTGAGGTGAAAAACCGTTCGGGACCGAATCGAAAACTGGATAAAGACCAGATAAGAGAGCTCAACACCCAAAACATAAGGGTAATTTGCATAAACGGTCCCAACATTTGCCCTTAGTACAAAACTTAACCAGCTCCTCACCCTTTCAGGCCTTAGGTCACTCAAATTCACACAAGCTCAATATAAAATCAAGACCGAATTGGGACCGGACCGGGTCAAAACCAGACTGTATTCAATCCAATCTTTGGTCCTTATATTTTCAAAAAGATCGCACTGGACCGAACCATTTTGGGCCAATTTAACCGGACTGAACATGTATAGCCACTCCTAAGCAAAATAGGAGTACTGGAGTCATAAAGATTTTAATAAGACTTCCACATCAATATCGACAACCAATTAAATTAACCTCAACCCATATATAACTCGAATGTTTAACTGACAAATCTTGTACCAGGATCTCTAACTAATTATATGCATGCCCTTGTACTACAGCATTTATCTGCTTTAATATCACTCTTGAACATTTTGTCCAAACCCATTACTGGTGTAGTCTGATTTGTGAGTATGTTCTCAATGAGTCACATGTTACCTATATTGCAAAATCCTTGTTTTTTCTCTCCACCCTTCTTACCGTACAGCTGTAATTTTAATTGTTGGAATTCATAACACATGATAGTTGTTATTAAACAAAATGGTTACAACATATATAGAGGCTACAAAATGGGCTATTAAGTATTAACCCCTTTATAAACAACATCTTTCATTAAAATTATTTTCTAAACCCACCACCTACTGACCATTAATGAATCCCTAATTTAAAAACCATTAACAAAAAAAAAACCAAAATGAAAAAGAGTACAATTCAATTCCTCTCAATAGACAGCAGAATAATTCTTTTTTTTTTTTTTTTTGCCCCGACTTTTCCCCCCAATTTACAAGTCACAAACAAGAAGCTTACAAATCTAACCAAAACCATTATTAACCCTTCTAATGGCTTTTTTTTCTTTTCTTGTTTAACAAATCTCAATAAGGGCTCTCTCCAACGTAATTTCCAGGGGGATCGTAGAAGCAGATGGTGAGGCTGGCCTTGTCCTTCACACACGTGGCGGAGCCGCACCCCAGCTGCCCTGACTTCCTCCACACCACCTGCGTGTACACACCGCACATGTGCCCCGCCGCGCACGTGTTGCTGCGGTGGTCGTAGTACTTCCCCTCCGCCACCCACTTCCCCACCACCGCGCGTGGCGCAGGCACCACTCCGCCGCTCGCCCACATCTGGTTGGCGCCGTACTGGCTGTCGGTCAGGTTGGCGAACTGGCACCTGGTCTGGAGCCTGGCCGTCCTGCCCGCGGCGGCGGATAGCTTCGGGCTCCAGGTCAGGGGAGGGACTCCAACCGCCGTCCTGGCGGCGTTGTGGGCGGCGAGGAAGTCCCTCGCGGCCGTCGGAAGGACGGGCGCCGGCCGAGGAGGAGGAGGAGTTGCTGCTGCTTGGATGTGGGAGAGGGATAGAAGCATCATTAGGGAGAAGGATGGGAGGATGGCTGCGAAAGTGGAAGCCATTGAAATGGAGAAGATGGGTTTTTTTTTTTGGGGTTTGTGGGTGGGATGTGGAATGGAAAGGAAGTTTGGCCATTTATATGGGCTTAAATTAATTGGAGTTTTTCTTTGAATAGGGCCATAGGGGTATCGATGATTGTATTGCTAGGGATATCAGGATATGACTTATTTGCCCCCACTCTTTAGCTTAGATTTATCATTATTATGGATGGTCAAAGTATGAACTAAGAAGAGGTGGTCAAAGAAGCCGAAGTGGTCAAAGTTTTAAAAATATAATTCACGAAAAATATATGTATGAAGAGGTGACTACTACTACTATAGGTCTATCATAAGAAAAACAGCTATGATTATTTAGTATATTTCATTTATGAAATGACAAATCATATTCATAAATTTGTTGTCTCGTCATTAATGCGTAAGAAAAATTTGCTTCTTCTGGACATCATTATGGTGGATACGTTTGTTGGTTAATCCGGGATTTGATATTGACTCACTCTCAAATAACTCAAATTGGAGTGGATGGGAGATTGCAATGGATGGATTGTGGATTGGAAGTCCCCCACCATCAATTAGGTTGATTGGTGGGTAGATTGTAGTGTATGTCATGACCCGTACCATATTTTCACAGGTTACTTTTATTTTATTGTTTTTAGTATTCAATATTCGTCATATTCACTAACCACACTACACTCTGCCTATCGACTTCTGAATTCGAGAATAAAGAATAGTTTTGACTATTATTATTTGTTACTATTCTGTGTAATGTTCATTCGATATAACGTTGCAAAATATGCACTATTAGTTGTATCAAAGTTGTAAAATGGATCGATTTTCTCTACACAATTGGTTGATTAGTAATGGAAAAAAAATTGATTTAAACATTACATAGATCCACATAAGACAAAGTGGGAGTGTCTAAATTGCTACTATCTTATGAATTTGCGAGAAACTTGCTACAAATGTTAGTCTACTTGCTTAATGGTTTGTTAATAAATTGTATTTTTTTTAGTTAGTTAACCTACAATCCAATCACAAAAATTCGTCATCCACCCAACCCAACTCTAAAAAGAATGTTGACTGATAGCGGGTCACATAACCAACTCGCTAGTAAATGAATGGATCAATTAGATATCAAAATTCACCAAACTCATCTATTACTCACCGTTAGACATCACGATAATCTAATTATGTATCAGGTAAACTGGGATGAAATGAATACTCACACCAACCAATCATTAGACGGAAAGGTGCACAAAAATGGGACAAAATGTTGACAATGTGAAAATTTAACTCATTAAAAAATTGCTTGAACCGAAAAGCTTTGTGATCATTATTCGTTATTATGCAATTCCAACGGAATAGCGTTAGGCGTCGCCCTCCTGTGAGGCCATATCAGGAATAGAAATCGAATTAGAATCGGGTTTGTCTCCAACGTGGAGAGAGTTGACCTTGAAAATAACAATCATCGTCTGGTGGATTTTTTTTCCACGTGGCTACTTGATACGCCTGTCGGTGCGTCCCTGTTGGCAGCATCTTCTCCGTCAGCAGCGGATTATTAGTCTAATGGGCCTCTCCGTCCGGCCTTAATGACTAATGAGCTCATGTTTCTGAAATGGATCCTAGTCTCATTTCCCGGGCCCAGCCTGTTTGATTACTCGTCACTTGGTCAGTAAGTACTCTGCAGTTCTAGTGTTGCATTTTCAAAAAATTATGGTATTATGATTCTATTATATGTGGGATTAGTTGAAAATCACATATAGTACTTGTTGGGGGGGGGGGGGGGCATATGAGGGGGCAAGAGAGAAGCCCAAAAGATTGGATTGGGTCTGGAGTGCAGGCCCAACAAAGGGAAAGCCTAGCTTAAGAGGCGCCTTAGGTCATAATCTGTGAGGTGGGGTCGGGCCTGACGTAGGGTGCATGGCGATAAAAGGTGATAACGGTTGGGAGCGTACGGAGGGAACAGGAAGTGGGGGCCATGCGCCTTGGGGCCCTAGGCGAGGTGTCAGAGTGTCAAGGTGCTTGACAAGGGTGAGGTACAGTGCATTTAATGAGGTGATGACGTGGGGCGGATCTGGGGAGCAATGGTCGGCCCGACTCCGGGCATAAATAGTGAAGTTGGTGGAGCTCATTTACTCAGGTTGGATCCTCTCTCAAAAAACTATTGATCACTTCTCTCTCTAAAACGGTAGTTCTAACTTGAGCGTCGTAGTGCTAACGAGCCCAAAAGAGGGCTCGTGGGGTGCCTTTGTGAGCAGTGTAGCCAGAATTTCATTTAAAGGAAGTTCAAGGTGGGGAAGAAAAAAAAAAGAACAACACAAGTTTTCTGATGTGTTTTCATATTCTGAGAAATTTCTAAATACATTCATCATGTAAATTGTGAGGGTGTTAAGATATTGCACCGAAAAATAATTCATTGTTTCTTCACTCATCCTGTTCTAAAATGTTTCCTCACTTTGTTAATTGCAGTAAGTGCTCTTTCAACACTTGCAATGACAATAGATATAAAAAATGCCCCTAAATTTTGAGTTTTTGCTTATATTAAACTCACTTACGAAATGTATGAATTATAAATTAAATAGCAAGGTTCAAAAAGACGCTAGGCGTAAGGCGGGCGTTGAGTCTTTGCCTTGCGCCTAGCTTGCCTAGGCGTAGACTAAGCGTGCCTAGGCGTTGGAAGAAAAATAGTTATTCGCACTACATGATGAATGAAATAATAATCTACAACACTTCTTCACTTTAGTGAAAATGATTAATAACTTACACAACACTTAATGACAAGAACATAGCTCACGAATTCATAGAATCATAGCTCAGTAGCTCACAAAGTTCTTCAACTATTGAAAATATTGCAATGGAAAATTGATTTCATAGTTTATGTTAATTTGGTCTTTAATATTGACTTCCTAGCTCCATCTAGTAATGTTTAGGAGAGACTTATATGTCGCCTTACTTTATTGACGTGTTCCAGTATCTAATTAGGCGCGAAACTCCTAGGCGAGGCGTTTGCCATTGCCTTGTGCCTAGGCGTGCCTAAGCGTAAGGTTAAGCGTGCTTTTTCGAACCATGTTAAATAGAGATCACAAAATATTGTTTTTTCATAAATTTTTTTACGATAATAGAAAAAATTATGTATTCAATCTACAATCTCATAAAAAAGTTACTACTACATTTTTATATCAGGTGGTGCAAATGACCTACATGGATTCGCCCTCACGTGGCTCCGCCGGCTACGGTTACCACTCAAGTTTGGGTGTCTTGAATCACTGGTCAATATGGGTGACCCTACTGTCATAATTACTATGTTTAATTTAGGGTTATAAGTAAAATATGTCACTCTACTATGACGATTTATCAAACATGCCCCTCAACTATTTTTTACATCAAACATGCCTCTGTACTTTGAAAAAATTATCAAACATGCCCTTCTGTTAAAATTTCCATCCAAAACCCGTCAACAAAGCCGAAACTTTGGCTTGGGCGACACAAATGTCTAAAATATCCCTAATAATTTCACTTTAGAATTTTTTTGGTTCTTTTGTATAGCCAAATAATTTCACTGTGAAGAGACCCAGAGAAATAAAACGGGAGACAAAACTGACATTTTCGCTCCCATTTGCAGATGTCGGGTCGTCTACATCTCGGTTCAACCATGATTGACGATTTTTCAATGGAAAGTTTAACAAAAGGGCATGTCTGATAATTTTTTCAAAGTATAGATGCATGTTTGATGTAAAAAATAGTAGAAGGGCATGTTTGATAAAACGTTATAATAGAGGGGCATATTATACCTATAATCCTTTAATTTAACTTCGACAAATAGTCCTTCTTATGTTATTTTTCTTAGAGTAAGTAACCATGACTAGTGAACCAAAGAATATTAAGGTTGTCACAATGTGCTCTCGACTTTTGATTCCCACAACCTGCAAATTGGGTAACCTCAGATGTACCTAATGGATTGTTTTCTTTGTAGCCATGAACTCAAAACAACCCTCGTAGTGTATGCAGGTCTGTCTGATGAATCTCTTGGTTTCAGTTGGTTTGCTGTTCTGTCGCAATGGATACGTACGTATTGGGTAAGTAAAGAGAGATTGGAGCAGCAAGGTGCTTACCTCAAGTGTGCCTAAAGTTAAGGGATCATGCCCTTACTACCGCTCCTCATGATGAAACATATATTTCTGATGCTGCTGTACCTGTCAAACAGAAATTGTTAGGGGACACATATATATTATAATTATATGATGATGTAAGGTTAGGCAGCAGGATCTTCTCCAATTCTCTGAGGTCAGGAGGATCACTTACGTCTGCTTCATTGACCACCCAATTGGGCACAATAGAGGAAGAGATGCCCTTTCTCCATTATCCATTTGGATGACTATTTACAATTTATCAGAATTTCATTCAATTTAGTGTCTTTGACCGCTCCAACAATCTGTAGTTAGTCAAATGCATAAATTTGACTATGTATTAGGATTTAGGGGGTGGAAGAGATGACTTTGATGAGTCAAATGTGGATAATGAAATTTCACCCAAGATGTATATGGTAATATGGACACAGAGTATGAAGATCCATTGCGGGCAATGCATGAATTGTTCAAGCCATTTGTGACGAATTTGATTCGTTACATGATATTAGAGGTTTTAATGTTCGGATTAACCATGAGCTCAAATCACTCTACGATGAACTTAGCAGCAAATTCCAGATTTATTGGTCAGACTTTCGTTTGAGAAGACATGTTAGAGATTTGCATGAAATTCGCTCTTGGGTTTCAATCAAGAGCTTCAGCTATTGGATTTCGTATCATTTCTTAGCATTGTTAGAGATAAATCAACGCACTGGATACCATCAGAACTTCGATATTGAACGTGCGAGAATAATGCTAAAAACTGGATTGCCTCTTAGCATACACATATAGATTTTAACCACTTCATTATAAACATCACATATATATATATATATATATATATATATATATGGCCAATGACAAGTAGTCAAGTAGCCAACGTTAATGCCCATTAATTGCAGTAATAATACGTCAAAACATAATCCCTGAATCACAATCAGTTAGTCACTAAATATTTCCAACTAATAAAATTTTGAAACTGAATTCCCAATTACACTCTGCTTCCAGAATAACAGGCAGGGGAAACGAAAACAGAGCACTGAGAGAACAACACTGAACACTAACTAAAGCCCCAATCAGGCAATTTTCCAAGCTGCGCTCGCCTTCACGGCGAGATCACACAGATCCGAAATCGACAGCGGGTTACGAGCGAAGCAGACCGGCAGCAGAAAGTAAAGCTGCCCCAGCTGCAGCTCCTCCTCGTCTCCCAACGGTGGAGCCAGTTTCCCGATCGACATCGATTCCGAGCTACACACGAAACACCTCCCCGGCGGCGACGACGACAGCGACAGCGACACCACTTTCCCGGCACGGATCGGGTGACTGAACTCCTGCAGCTTGCCGTCGGCGTTGACAACCTTCACCGTGTTGCATATTATTTCCTCCGTCGCCGGAAACTTGTTGTCGGAGTTGGGATGAGAGGAGGAAATACAGAGACCCATTATAGAAAAGTGGAAGAAATGCTCTGTTTTTTCTTACTCTGCTCTGGCTGAGTTGTGAAGTAGCGGTTTCGTGACGGCAATGTGTGTTTCGGGGTTTTGTCAGAGAAACTTTGTCGAATCGGGCTTTAAATACGACTGCTGGTCACAGAAATACGATGTTTTAAAAAAATAATATTGTTGGCAAAATTATTGGTTCTTACTTTGACCGTAGGTTAGGCTGTAGCGACTAAGCGATTTGATTTTGATAAAGATGAAAATGAGTGCATGGCCGGAATGAGTGGATTATTATTGTTAAGTAAAAGTGATTAGAGCAAGATGTGGACTGATAATTGGTTTCGAAAGTGTCATATGGTGTAGCTAAGTGTGATTAAGGTGGTAATTGGTGGTGCCAGTCAAAAAGATGAATTGGAAAACGGTATATAATATAATATTGGTAGATGGTCGGCTTCAAATATGTTTCATGACTTTCCAGTTCATCGTTCTTTTTTTTTTACAAAGATTATCGACTTTTATTCCACCGAACAATTGAAAGATGAGGAACTTGGTTACAATCTTTAAAGAAGATCAGAAATGAGATCAAGAATATTAATCCAATCATCAGGAAGCGATGCTCGAGCTTTTAACCGTGCAACCCAATCTGCTCTAACATTAAGTGTTCTGGGCACTTCTTTGATTTTGATGAGAGGGTTTGTTCGGAGGATAGAAACAATCGATCCAATCCATGCTGCACACCTCCATGGCCATCGAGAGCGATCATTATCCAAAGCTTTCACCAGCACCTGACAGTCGGATTGAACAGTACACTCGGATCCATATTCTTGAGCTAATTTCACTCCTTCGAGAAGGGCCTTAGTTTCCGCTTCAATCGGGGTGGAACAAAGAAGATTCTCAGCTCTTCCATCACACACTTGTCCATGGTGGTTAACTACCACAACACCATATGCCGCCGACTGGGAGTCGCTAATGAACGACCCATCATAGTGAATCACCAAAGACTGATTACTTGGCAGTGGATTCGTATGAGACTGGGTTCCCCTAAGCTGAGTGGGAAGGGAGGGCAGGGGAGGAGGGGACCTCGGGCACGAATTCCATTCAGTAAGCTCTTTATACGTAAGTTGGCACACCTTCGGAGGCCACGGAATTCTACTCTTGAAAGCGCATTCGTTTCTTGCCTTCCAGATGTTCCAACAAAGGAAAACAATATGGATCAAGGAGCTATCCTGAACAACATCTTTAAGGGAGCAGAACCAGTCAAAGAACCCGGTTCCCTGAGGGGGTAAGGGGAGAGACGGAAACAGGGCATTTCATGCCTCCTTGGCATGGGGGCATTGGAACAAGCAGTGATTGATGGATTCGACTGGGTTGTGGCACACCTGACAAGAAGAGTTGGGAGCACACTTCCTCTGGAGCAATCTCTCTTTCGTTGCTAATCCATTCCTAGAGCATCTCCAAACAAAGAATTTCAACTTCGGGGGGATGTGAAGGCTCCAAATCCATTTCCATTTTTCAGTATTCCCGCTTGGTTGCGTATTGGTATTGGCTCTGTGAATCGTATGGTACGCAGATTTAACCGTAAACTTTCCCTCTTCATTGTAGTTCCATGCCCAATAGTCCTCAGCTCCATCCTCCCCGATTGGAATCCTGAGGATAGCTTCGAGCTCTGAGCTGGAAGCATGCCCTTGGATAACATCCGAATGCCACTTCCTTTCTCCAGGATCAATCCACTCGTTGACCTTTTGATGATTCTGTGGGCCAGTCCTGAGAGCATATTTGTCCAAAGTGGGGATCCAAGGGTCCCTATCGACCCACGTGTCGTCGCCTGATCCAATCACTCGAACTGCTCCCAAACCAATCACCTTTTTTGCCTCCCAAAGACTAGCCCATATCCATGAAGCTTTGCTCCCCTTTTTAGCATTAAGAAAATCACCTCTAGGGAAGTACAAGCCTTTCAGTAGACGACTCCACAATGCCTCAGGGGTGGTGAGGAGGCGCCAGGCCTGCTTAGCAAGTAGGGCAAGGTTAAAATCATTGAAACTCCTGAAGCCCAAACCTCCCTCATATTTAGGCATGCAGAGAATTTCCTTCCTACACCAATGGAGGCTAGTCTTCTGCATAAACTCTGACCAAAAGAAGTTACTGAGAAGAGAGTCCATTATCTTAGTGAGAACCTTTGGGAGATAGAACAGACACATGATATACGATGGAATAGCTTGAATGACTGCTTTCAGTAGGATTTCCTTTCCACCATGAGAGAGCAGGAGACTTTTCCAAGCTTCCCCCATTTTTTCCATTCTTTGAATGAGGAAGTTAAAAGTTTCTTTCTTCGAGTTTCCCCATTCCGTCGGGACCCCCAGATACTTAGAATGGCAGTTCGAGGGAGCGAAGTCAATGCTCACAATGATCTGATCTTTCACATCGCTGGGTACATTGGCACTGAAGAACACTGACGATTTGTTAATATTAACCTCTTGGCCAGTAATAGCTCCATATTCCCCAATGAGATCGATAATTTTCTGTGCTTCCTGATAATCAGCCTTGCCGAAAATGACTGTGTCGTCGGCAAACAGGCAATGTGTGAGCACTGGGCATCGAGCGTTCAGCTTAATCCCCTTTAGACTCTCGTTCGCCACAGCCTTATCAATCAAGAAGGTGAGGGCATTTGACATGAGGATGAATAAGAAAGGTGAGAGTGGGTCTCCCTGACGAATGCCTCGGGAAGGCTTGAAGGAGTCGGTTGCTTCTCCATTGAAAAGAATAGAGAAGCTGACTGTTTTAATGCATGAACTGACCCACCCACACCACTTACTGTCAAACCCATACTTCTTGAGAAGAGCCTCCAGACAGTCTCATTCCACCATATCATAAGCCTTCTTCATATCCAATTTCAACATCATATCTCTCCTCCTACCCAATTTATGGTTCTTGAAATGATGAAGGGCCTCATGGACAATGATGATATTATCTTGAATAAGTCTACCCCCGGTGAATGCTGTTTGGAGCTCAGATACCAATTCGGGAGTCCATTTTTTAAGGCGCGTTTCCATAATCTTAGATATGATTTTATATCTAAAATTACAGCAGCTAATAGGACGGAATTGGCTTATCAGTTCAGGGTTATCAACCTTGGGGATCATTGCAATATGAGTCTCATTCCATCCAGCTGGCATATTAGCCGTCTCAAAAAATCCCCTAACTTCTCGGCACACGGTGTCTCCTAGGATATCCCAATATCTCCTATAAAATCTTCCCGAGAATCCATTAGGACCAGGAGCTTTACCCGCACCCAGTGAGAAAACTGCTTTCCTAATTTCTCCATCAGTCACCTCAGTTCAGAGATCCTCATTCATCTCCGTAGTTACTTTTTCAGGGAAGCCTTCCAACAAATGGTCAAAAGGGATCGGACTCCTAGCCTTAAAAAGATCCATGTAAAACTCTTCTGCAAGTCTTTTGAGGCTATTTTCATCTTCAATCCAATTTCCTTCTCCGTCTTTGAGTTTGAGGATTTTGTTTCTATGTTTCCTATATATAGTGCTAGAATGAAAGAAGGAGGTATTCTGATCACCTTTTTGGAGCCAGTTAACTCTCGAGCATTGGCTCCAGAATGCTTCTTCATCCCTCCAAATGTTCGTCAGCTCAATAGTAAGCATCCTTTCCTCTTCCACATTCTCCATTGTTCTTGGCAGTTGTTGAAGGATTTCGAGTCTAGAAAGAATTTCTTGCTCCCTCTGTATACTGTTTTTATGGAAGTCTTTTTCCCATTCCTTTAGATCTCTTTCACATTTGTTCAACTGTTCCGTTGATTGGCCTCCAGGGTCCCACGCGTGGGCAATAATCTCCTTGCATTCGTCTTTCTCAAGCCATCTTTCATCAATCCTAAAGGGTGTCTTCTTCCTCCTGTTTCCCCGATAATGAAGTTCCAGTCTGATCGGGCAGTGATCAGACTCCACCATTTTTTCATGGAATACCACTGCTTCGCCAAATTGGGCACGCCATGACGTTGAGCAAAGCACACGATCCAATCTCACTCTCGTCAGGTTTTGGCCCGTTCTCTTGTTGGTCCAGGTGAAGGGCTCCCCTTTGTACCCCAGGTCAATAAGAGCATTATGGAATATGAACCTCTTAAAAGGTTCCACATTTTCGTATCTAAGAGGGCATCTCCCTTCCTTTTCATTTCATAGATCGCAGCATTAAAATCCCCTACAACCACCCAGTTATCATCCCTACTACTCCGCAGAGAGCTCAAGTGCTCCCAAAATTCCCTTCTACTAACAACTGTAGAGGGTGCATGAACAAAAGTACAGAAAAAACTCCTACCCATATCTATACTAACATCCATGTAGTAGCTATCACTACTTAACACCGTAATATTAATACCGGATTTCCACCACAAAGCAAAACCCTTAGAAGAGTTGACCGGTTCCACATACTCTCTATTGGGGAAATTTTTGAGACTTCTTCTTTGTTCTTCCATGAAAACCTCATTTTTGCTAGTTTCCATAAGAAAAACAATAGAAGGGCCTAAACGCCTACATAGACGCTTCGCATAACTTCTTGTAAGGGGAGGGCCAAACCCCCTACAATTCCAACTTACTATACTCATTCTGGATGAGGTGGCTTCTGGCGAACCACCGCTGCCCTTGAATCATCTTCCTGACTATCCGCTACCTCCTCCGATCTCGTCCCTCTTTGAGCACCCTTTTTTCCCCTTATACCTTTCTTCTTTCTGTTCATCCCCTCTTGCCATCCCATAAAAATTGCTCCATCAGAAGTGAAGGATCCAGTCGCCTCCAGCCTGCTAGTCCCCTTCCTCTTCTTTCTGGCCCGGCCCACTTCTTCCTCCAATTCTTCCTCTGCATGGTGATACAGGCCTGATCCACCCAATAACATTTTACCTTGGGCCTTCTCATAACCTCCCTGGATCAGCTGACCTTGGGCCTTGTCAAAGCCTCCCTGGATCAGCGGCCCAAGGGAGAGGGTTGTCTGCACTTCCCCAGCCCGACCTCCCTGACCCAACCCTATTTCCCCACTCGTGTATCCAGCTCCCCACCCTCCGCCGCCTTCTCCCAACCCTCCGCCGCCTTCTCCCAATCTCAGACCCCATTCAAGTTCTTCCGCCGCTTTCTCAAGGTCGATGGAGATATCCCTTCCCTGTATCTTCCCCTCTGCCTACCCAATAGCCCCTGATCTTCCTTTTCAATTAGCCCTTCCTCCGTGCGCTGGATCGTGAATCACGGGGGATTATCGGCACCCCCCCTGATGGGCCGCCCATCTCCGCCGCCGAGTAGCTTTCCCCCTCCTCGTTCCTCCGGAAATTTCCTCTTCCTCTCCCCTGTTCCTGGCCTGAGCCGCAGCGTTTCTATGTGGCGAATCGATCCCCGCCTTCAGCGA